GTTTGTTAGACGGCCCTCAAAGTACTAACCTGCTGGTATTATACCCCTTCTAGGCTTAGTGTCATGTTCCCGGGGACATCCCACCTGTGTTTCCGGGGTTGTGGCCTAGCTGGTACCTTGGTGTACACATTTTGGGCTTGCCAAAACCTTTCAATGGTGTGGCGCAAGGTCTCCGAAGTGGCCTCTGCTGTGGCAGATGCACATGTGCATCTGTCTATGCAGTCTTGCCTGTTGGGAGCTCGCATCACGGGAATACGGATGGGGGCTATGAGGCTAATCCATACAGTCTGTGTTTCTGTCCTGTGGACCATTGCCCTGCACTGGAGGTCACTCATGGTGCCATTGCCCTCGGTTTTCCGGAGACTTGATGCAGTGATGCTCATGGAGAGAATTCATTACATGTTACTGGATAGGATGCAGTTGTTCGACAGAAAGTGGGAGGTTTGGAAAACGCATAGACATCTACTATCTGAATAATGAATATTTATGATTTCATTGATCGTGTTTTTCTGTTGGTGCCATTATTGTTCTGCCTACCCTCTTACCTATCTTGCTCATGCACTTAATTTTTCTGCCTTACATGATTGTACCTTTCTGGAATGTATATTACAGATGTGCCTTGTTTCTGTTTTATATGTTACTTGATGCTGTAAAGTTGTCTTTGCAGCCTATTTCATAAAAACTAATAAAATCGTTTGTAAACAGAAAAGAATACAGTTTATAAAGATATAAGAAAAGCAGATAATTACTTATGGCTTCCTAACTTTGTCCAGAATATGTTTCATTTATGTCTCTATGACTTTTAACAACTAACAGATTTTCTTTGAAACCTGATGAGACAAAGATTAAGTCCAAAATAATGAGCAAACAAAATGTGATAAAGAGTGTGAGCAGGATCAAGATGTGTTCAGTGTGTAAATCATCCCAACCACTCCACTACAAGCCTCTTCTCACTGCTCCACTGACCAAAGGATGAGGGTGGTTAATTTCATCCAATACAAGAAAGGTTCACAGCTCTTATGCATTTCACTCCATCGGGAGTTTAATCATGAAGATGTAGAAGATGTGACGACCTAAAGATTTTTTTTCAGCCAGACTAACTATGTAACTATGTACTCCCTAACTGGTTGATAGAATTATTGGGAATTTGCTGGGGATGGATAGAGCAGGAAGTATTGGGGATGGATACAAGGTGGTAAAGGTCAGGGGGGACACCTTACCTGAAAATACTATAAAAATGGCACTGAATATTTAATATGAAATGATGCATGACCATCCAAATCGGCCAAACTCTAATTGAAATTCCAGACCTGGTGAATAACTGCCTATTTCTTTTGCTTGCAGTCTAAATAATTTCCATTAAGCTTCCCCTCACATTATTAGTTCGCATACCACAAACCTGAAAATAACAGGAAATGTGAATTATTTTTATAACAGACAAATTCTTTGACAAGACAAGGGTCAAGTGAGGCATATACCTTTTTCAAAATAATGGCGGTGCATTTTCAGTGAGGGTAAGATGAAAGTCATGCATAACAGATGGTTTTACTTTGTCAGAAATCAAAATTGCCATAGGGCAAATGCTCATTTTGTGTATGCTTTAAACTGAAATTTCAATTATGTTTTTCTTTGCAATACAATTTTCCCATTTTTAGTCATCCTGTAAATGCTGCAAATAGTTTATACATTTTTCTCTATATATATTGTACTTTCAAAGGTTTTTTCACCATATGTTTGACTTACAGGTTTAATCATGTCGTTCTCTTCTTATACGTATATTGTTTACCGAAATGCACGAGGAACACAAAATAGCTTGTTAGCACCTTAACTTTTAATAATACAGAATATTTCACATGTAAAATATATAGATTATTATTATTAGTCGTAGTAGTATTTGTATTATTACAAACACTAACTTAATATTTCTAAATATGAGTTTAATCCATTCTAGCATTTTTCAATGTCAAATAATAATGCCCTATGTATACACACTACATATAAAATATTGATACTGACTCAGCAGCTTAAATAGATTGCCTGATATGCCTTCCACATTTCAGGCTGCTGCTACAATATTTGTTAGAGCCTATGGACATTTGTGTCAGTGACCTACTTTTTATTTTGCTGCTTTCTAAATAGAGCCCAGAGTCAGTTCATAAATTCATATCAATGATTTTGTTTTTCTGAGTTGTGTATTTTGTTCTTGAACCTGAGCACAATTGTAAATAGCCAATTTAAAATATTGTATAAGAGAATAAAGCTGATATTTTTCTTAGAGCAAATGTGTAACTTACAAAAAGAACATTTCAGTTAAGATCAGACTTCATTGGGTGTGAGGGAGAAGCTGAAGGTCAAGCATGCCTTTCCATTCCCATCTTGTGAGCTGTAGGATAAATTAGTCTATCTGAAGAATGTGCTTTTAGTCAAAGGAATTCATTTTCCCCAGTGAGTATATTTTAGGAAAGATGGAAGAGCATATAGCTATTTGTGCACATTCCATAAAATTTAAGAACCTATCATTTTTGTCAGTTTTGAAATTAATCTTATACTAAATATACTGAAAAAAGAGATAAATAAAGTGAGTTTATTAATATGTGCTAGTTATTTTTAAAACTGAGCATTGGGATCCTGCCCACTTCTTATTTCAAGATAACTCTTCCATTGCTGTAATTTCTTTTTAATTATTACCTTTTCAAATATAACTACATATCATATTCTTTGTGATGTCATCAGTTCTGTCAGATAAATGTGCTGTTCCTGGGCCCACAAGGAAGATCCATGCTATAGTTACATGCAATGGGGGAACTCAGCACTATATTTCACAGCATTGAAGGTGTGTATATGGGATGGAGCTCAGGGATGTTCCTGATTTAAAGGACTAGAAAACAGTAAAGGTACCAATTAGAGATGAGCGAAGTATTCAAAAATTTCGATTCGGCTGATTCGGCGAATTCGAGGAATAAATTTGATTCGAGGCGAATATATTCGCTGCGAATTTAACTTATAAAAAGGGTGTTTCTAGGCATCAGAGAGCCTTTATATTAGTGCAGAACACTGTACCTTTAATTTAAATGCCCTTGGAGTCTGCTGGGGAAGAGAAATAATACTGTCAGTCAGTATGACATGCAGATGAGTGCCGTCGATCTTAGAATCACCGCACACTTCACTCATTTGGGCAGTCACGGGGCCAAAACCAGAGTGTGGAGCCACAGTGTGGCGGTGGAGGCAGCAGCAATGGGAGGCCATACAGCACCCTATGACAAAATGGAACCCACCAGCAGTGTGAGGAGACCTGAAAGTGGCACATGGCAGAGTGTGGCGATGGAGACAGCGGCAATGGGAGGCCGTACAGAGACCCATGACACACTCTGGACCTGGCAGCAGCATGAGGAGGCGGTACAGGGGCCCATGACAGATTACGGGCCTGGCAGCAGCATGAGGAGTCGGTACGGGGGCCCATGGCAGATTACGGGCCTGGCAGCAGCAATGGGAGGCCCGTAATCTGCCAGCATCCTATGACAAAATGGAACCCACCAGCAGTGTGAGGAGACCTGAAAGTGGCACATGGCAGAGTGTGGGCGATGGAGACAGCAGCAATGGGAGGCCGTACAGGGACCCATGAGACACTGGGGGCCCATGGCAGATTACGGGCCTGGCAGCAGCAATGGGAGGCCCGTAATCTGCCAGCACCCTATGACAAAATGGAACCCACCAGCAGTGTGAGGAGACCTGAAAGTGGCACATGGCAGAGTGTGGCGATGGAGACAGCAGCAATGGGAGGCCGTACAGGGACCCATGACAGATTACGGGCCTGGCAGCAGCATGAGGAGGCGGTACAGGGGCCCATGACAGATTACGGGCCTGGCAGCAGCAATGGGAGGCCCGTAATCTGCCAGCACCCTATGACAAAATGGAACCCACCAGCAGTGTGAGGAGACCTGAAAGTGGCACATGGCAGAGTGTGGCGATGGAGACAGCAGCAATGGGAGGCCGTACAGGGACCCATGACAGACTACTGGACCTGGCAGCAGCATGAGGAGGCGGTACAGGGGCCCATGACAGATTACGGGCCTGGCAGCAGCAATGGGAGGCCCGTAATCTGCCAGCACCCTATGACAAAATGGAACCCACCAGCAGTGTGAGGAGACCTGAAAGTGGCACATGGCAGAGTGTGGCGATGGAGACAGCAGCAATGGGAGGCCGTACAGGGACCCATGACAGATTACGGGCCTGGCAGCAGCATGAGGAGGCGGTACAGGGGCCCATGACAGATTACGGGCCTGGCAGCAGCAATGGGAGGCCCGTAATCTGCCAGCACCCTATGACAAAATGGAACCCACCAGCAGTGTGAGGAGACCTGAAAGTGGCACATGGCAGAGTGTGGCGATGGAGACAGCAGCAATGGGAGGCCGTACAGGGACCCATGACACACTCTGGACCTGGCAGCAGCATGAGGAGGCGGTACAGGGGCCCATGACAGATTACGGGCCTGGCAGCAGCATGAGGAGTCGGTACGGGGGCCCATGGCAGATTACGCAGCAGCAGCAATGGGAGGCCCGTAAACTGCCAGCACCCTATGACAAAATGGAACCCACCAGCAGTGTGAGGAGACCTGAAAGTGGCACATGGCAGAGTGTGGCGATGGAGACAGCAGCAATGGGAGGCCGTACAGGGACCCATGAGACACACTCTGGACCTGGCAGCAGCATGAGGAGGGGTACGGGGGCCCATGGCAGATTACGGGCCTGGCAGCAGCAATGGGAGGCCCGTAATCTGCCAGCACCCTATGACAAAATGGAACCCACCAGCAGTGTGAGGAGACCTGAAAGTGGCACATGGCAGAGAGTGTGGCGATGGAGACAGCAGCAATGGGAGGCCGTACAGGGACCCATGACACACTCTGGACCTGGCAGCAGCATGAGGAGGCGGTACGGGGGCCCATGGCAGATTACGGGCCTGGCAGCAGCAATGGGAGGCCCGTAATCTGCCAGCACCCTATGACAAAATGGAACCCACCAGCAGTGTGAGGAGACCTGAAAGTGGCACATGGCAGAGTGTGGCGATGGAGACAGCAGCAATGGGAGGCCGTACAGGGACCCATGAGACACTCTGGACCTGGCAGCAGCATGAGGAGGCGGTACGGGGGCCCCATGGCAGATTACGGGCCTGGCAGCAGCAATGGGAGGCCCGTAATCTGCCAGCACCCTATGACAAAATGGACCCACCAGCAGTGTGAGGAGACCTGAAAGTGGCACATGGCAGAGTGTGGCGATGGAGACAGCAGCAATGGGAGGCCGTACAGGGACCCATGACAGATTACTCTGGACCTGGCAGCAGCATGAGGAGGCGGTACAGGGGCCCATGACAGATTACGGGCCTGGCAGCAGCAATGGGAGGCCCGTAATCTGCCAGCACCCTATGACAAAATGGAACCCACCAGCAGTGTGAGGAGACCTGAAAGTGGCACATGGCAGAGTGTGGCGATGGAGACAGCAGCAATGGGAGGCCGTACAGGGACCCATGACACTCTGGGCCTGGCAGCAGCATGAGGAGGCGGTACAGGGGCCCATGACAGATTACGGGCCTGGCAGCAGCAATGGGAGGCCCGTAATCTGCCAGCACCCTATGACAAAATGGAACCCACCAGCAGTGTGAGGAGACCTGAAAGTGGCACATGGCAGAGTGTGGCGATGGAGACAGCAGCAATGGGAGGCCGTACAGGGACCCATGACAGATTACGGGCCTGGCAGCAGCATGAGGAGGCGGTACAGGGGCCCATGGCAGATTACGGGCCTGGCAGCAGCATGAGGAGTCGGTACGGGGGCCCATGGCAGATTACGGGCCTGGCAGCAGCAATGGGAGGCCCGTAATCTGCCAGCACCCTATGACAAAATGGAACCCACCAGCAGTGTGAGGAGACCTGAAAGTGGCACATGGCAGAGTGTGGCGATGGAGACAGCAGCAATGGGAGGCCGTACAGGGACAGGGACCCATGACACACCATGAGATGAGACACTCTGGACCTGGCAGCAGCATGAGGAGGCGGTACGGGGGCCCCATGGCAGATTACGGGCCTGGCAGCAGCAATGGGAGGCCCGTAATCTGCCAGCACCCTATGACAAAATGGAACCCACCAGCAGTGTGAGGAGACCTGAAAGTGGCACATGGCAGAGTGTGGCGATGGAGACAGCAGCAATGGGAGGCCGTACAGGGACCCATGACACACTCTGGACCTGGCAGCAGCATGAGGAGGCGGTACAGGGGGCCCCATGACAGATTACGGGCCTGGCAGCAGCAATGGGAGGCCCGTAATCTGCCAGCACCCTATGACAAAATGGAACCCACCAGCAGTGTGAGGAGACCTGAAAGTGGCACATGGCAGAGTGTGGCGATGGAGACAGCAGCAATGGGAGGCCGTACAGGGACCCATGACAGACTCTGGACCTGGCAGCAGCATGAGGAGGCGGTACAGGGGCCCATGACAGATTACGGGGGCTGGCAGCAGCAATGGGAGGCCCGTAATCTGCCAGCACCCTATGACAAAATGGAACCCACCAGCAGTGTGAGGAGACCTGAAAGTGGCACATGGCAGAGTGTGGCGATGGAGACAGCAGCAATGGGAGGCCGTACAGGGACCCATGACACACTCTGGGCCTGGCAGCAGCATGAGGAGGCGGTACAGGGGCCCATGACAGATTACGGGCCTGGCAGCAGCAATGGAGGCCCGTAATCTGCCAGCACCCCCTATGACAAAATGGAACCCACCAGCAGTGTGAGGAGACCTGAAAGTGGCACATGGCAGAGTGTGGCGATGGAGACAGCAGCAATGGGAGGCCGTACAGGGACCCATGACAGATTACGGGCCTGGCAGCAGCATGAGGAGGCGGTACAGGGGCCCATGACAGATTACGGGCCTGGCAGCAGCAATGGGAGGCCCGTAATCTGCCAGCACCCTATGACAAAATGGAACCCACCAGCAGTGTGAGGAGACTGAAAGTGGCACATGGCAGAGTGTGGCGATGGAGACAGCAGCAATGGGAGGCCGTACAGGGACCCATGATGACAGATTACTGGGCCTGGCAGCAGCATGAGGAGGCGGTACAGGGGCCCATGGCAGATTACGGGCCTGGCAGCAGCAATGGGAGGCCCGTAATCTGCCAGCACCCTATGACAAAATGGAACCCACCAGCAGTGTGAGGAGACCTGAAAGTGGCACATGGCAGAGTGTGGCGATGGAGACAGCAGCAATGGGAGGCCGTACAGGGGCCCATGACAGATTACGGGCCTGGCAGCAGCATGAGGAGGCGGTACAGGGGCCCCAGATGGCAGATTACGGGCCTGGCAGCAGCAATGGGAGGCCCGTAATCTGCCAGCACCCTATGACAAAATGGAACCCACCAGCAGTGTGAGGAGACCTGAAAGTGGCACATGGCAGAGTGTGGCGATGGAGACAGCAGCAATGGGAGGCCGTACAGGGACCCATGAGAGATTACTGGACCTGGCAGCAGCATGAGGAGGCGGTACAGGGGGCCCATGAGCAGATTACGGGCTGGCAGCAGCAATGGGAGGCCCGTAATCTGCCAGCACCCTATGACAAAATGGAACCCACCAGCAGTGTGAGGAGACCTGAAAGTGGCACATGGCAGAGTGTGGCGATGGAGACAGCACAATGGGAGGCCGTACAGGGACCCATGACAGATTACGGGCCCTGGCAGCAGCATGAGGAGGCGGTACAGGGGCCCATGACAGATTACGGGCCTGGCAGCAGCAATGGGAGGCCCGTAATCTGCCAGCACCCTGACAAAATGGAACCCTGGTAACAGCAGTGTGAGGAACCCTGAAAGTGGCACATGGCAGAGTGTGTCGATGGAGACAGCCCTGAGCAATGGGAGGCCGTACAGGGACCCATGACAGATTGACACATTCTGGCCTGGCCCTGACTAGACATGACAGGCAATTCCTGGGCCCACGAACAGATTACGGGCCTGAGTAGGAAATGGGAGTAACCCTCTGTAATCTGCCCGAGTACCAATTCTGTGTACAAAATGGAACACCAGTGTGAGGAGACCTGAAAGTGGCACACAGAGTGTGTGGCGATGGAGACAGCAGCAATGGGTGGCCGTACAGGGACCCCATGAACACACTCTGGACCTGCAGTAACAATGCTGCCTCCTGGGTGCCCACCGACAGATTTCCTGGCAGCCAACAATGGGACCCTCTAACAATTCAGCCCTGTAACAATTCTGTGTCCCTCATGTACAAAATTCTGTGTCCCCTGCGTAACAATTCCTGAGTAACAATTCTGATGACGACGAGGCTGCCAAGTGCGATCTGCCTCATCATCATCAATTAGGGTCTCCGCCTCACTACTAGCCCCCTCTGGCAATGCGTGTGTGGGTCAGGAGACAGACCTGTCTCTAGACCGGCTAACCGAGCCACTCCCTCGCCAGTAACAATTCGCCTGTCCTGCTAACAGGCGGATGTCTCCCCCTGAGTAACCGCCCTCTGTTGTGCTCCCTCAGTACAGTGGGGCTGTGTCCCACAGCAACGATACTTCGCTGGTGAGGGAACACCAAAGGACAGGGGCAGGTAGAGGACACGTGATTTCAGTGGGCTTGCTCCCTGGCCATGCCAACTAACGGTTGTGTCTGACGTACCCAGTAACCGTTGGCTGTAGGTGTCAGAGGTCCCTGGGTAGAGGAAGACTGTGTCCCTCAGCCAACCAATCGATGACGGCAGGGTTGTCGGTGGAGACACGACCTGGATCCCTGAGTAACACTGTCCCCTCTGTAACAATTCTGCTGCCCTGAGTAACAATTCTGTGCCCTGCCACGTAACTGCTGTGTCCCTCAGTAACATTTCCTCCTCTGCCCTCCTAACAATTCTGTTGTCTGACATACTCTTTAATAACATTCTGTGTCCCTGAGTAACAATTCTGTGTCCCTGAGTAACAATTCTGTGTCCCTGAGTAACAATTCTGTGTCCCTGAGTAACAATTCTGTGTCCCTGAGTAACAATTCTGTGTCCCTGAGTAACAATTCTGTGTCCCTGAGTAACAATTCTGTGTCCCTGAGTAACAATTCTGTGTCCCTCAGTAACAATTCTGTGTCCCTGAGTAACAATTCTGTGTCTGTCCCTGAGTAACAATTCTGTGTCCCTGAGTAACAATTCTGTGTCCCTCAGTAACAATCTGTGTCCCTCAGTAACAATTCTGTGTCTGTCCCTGAGTAACAATTCTGTGTCCCTGAGTAACAATTCTGTGTCCCTGAGTAACAATTCTGTGTCCCTGAGTAACAATTCTGTGTCCCTGAGTAACAATTGTCCCCCTGAGTAACAATTCTGTGTCCCTCAGTAACAATTCTGTCCCTGTAACCCTGAGTAACAATTCTGTGTCCCTCAGTAACAATTCTGTGTCCCCTGAGTAACAATTCTGTGTCCCTGAGTAACAATTGTGTCTGTGTCCCCTGAGTAACAATTCTGTGTCCCTGAGTAACAATTCTGTGTCCCTGTAACAATTCTGTGTCCCTGAGTAACAATTCTGTGTCCCTGAGTAACAATTCTGTGTCCCTGAGTAACAATTCTGTGTCCCTCAGTAACAATTCTGTGTCCCTGTCCCTGAGTAACAATTCTGTGTCCCTGAGTAACAATTCTGTGTCCCTCAGTAACAATTCTGTGTCCCTCAGTAACAATTCTGTGTCCCTGAGTAACAATTCTGTGTCCCTGAGTAACAATTCTGTGTCCCTGAGTAACAATTCTGTGTCCCTGAGTAACAATTCTGTGTCCCTGAGTAACAATTCTGTGTCCCTGAGTAACAATTCTGTGTCCCTGAGTAACAATTCTGTGTCCCTGAGTAACAATTCTGTGTCCCTGTAACAATTCTGTGTAACTGTCCCTGAGTAACAATTCTGTGTCCCTCAGTAACAATTCTGTGTCCCTCAGTAACAATTCTGTGTCCCTCAGTAACAATTCTGTGTCCCCCTGAGTAACAATTCTGTGTCCCTGAGTAACAATTCTGTGTCCCTGAGTAACAATTCTGTGTCCCTGAGTAACAATTCTGTGTCCCTGAGTAACAATTCTGTGTCCCTCAGTAACAATTCTGTGTCCCTCAGTAACAATTCTGTGTCTGTCCCTGAGTAACAATTCTGTGTCCCTCAGTAACAATTCTGTGTCCCTCAGTAACAATTCTGTGTCTGTCCCTCAGTAACAATTCTGTGTCCCCTGAGTAACAATTCTGTGTCCCTGAGTAACAATTCTGTGTCCCTGAGTAACAATTCTGTGTCCCTGAGTAACAATTCTGTGTCCCTGAGTAACAATTCTGTGTCCCTGAGTAACAATTCTGTGTCCCTCAGTAACAATTCTGTGTCCCTGAGTAACAATTCTGTGTCCCTCAGTAACAATTCTGTGTCCCTCAGTAACAATTCTGTGTAACAACAATTCTGTGTCCCTGAGTAACAATTCTGTGTCCCTGAGTAACAATTCTGTGTCCCTGAGTAACAATTCTGTGTCCCTGAGTAACAATTCTGTGTCCCTGAGTAACAATTCTGTGTCCCTCAGTAACAATTCTGTGTCCCTCAGTAACAATTCTGTGTCCCTCTGAGTAACAATTCTGTGTCCCCTGAGTAACAATTCTGTGTCCCTCAGTAACAATTCTGTGTCCCTCAGTAACAATTCTGTGTCCCTCAGTAACAATTCTGTGTCTGTCCTGAGTAACAATTCTGTGTCCCTGAGTAACAATTCTGTGTCCCTGAGTAACAATTCTGTGTCCCTGAGTAACAATTCTGTGTCCCTGAGTAACAATTCTGTGTCCCTGAGTAACAATTCTGTGTCCCTCAGTAACAATTCTGTGTCTGTCCCTCAGTAACAATTCTGTGTCCCTCAGTAACAATTCTGTGTCCCTCAGTAACAATTCTGTGTCTGTCCCTGAGTAACAATTCTGTGTCCCTGAGTAACAATTCTGTGTCCCTGAGTAACAATTCTGTGTCCCTGAGTAACAGTTCTGTGTCCCTGAGTAACAATTCTGTGTCCCTGAGTAACAATTCTGTGTCCCTCAGTAACAATTCTGTGTCCCTCAGTAACAATTCTGTGTCTGTCCCTGAGTAACAATTCTGTGTCCCTGAGTAACAGTTCTGTGTCCCTGAGTAACAATTCTGTGTCCCTGAGTAACAGTTCTGTTTCCCTGAGTAACAATTCTGTGTCCCTGAGTAACAATTCTGTGTCCCTCAGTAACAATTCTGTGTCCCTCAGTAAC